AAAGAATTTTGAAATTCATTCTTAGCAGAATCTGTATTTAATTAAGATATTTGGACCTTAGAATTAATTTTCAGGTCAAGTTCTTTGTTCATATGTTTTTGATGAAGATGTTTACTTGCAGCTAAATAACAGCTTAGAATTCTAAAATAGGGAACCTATAACCTTAAACCAAGTATTATCATTTACTCTTTTCCAAATCCTTTCATCATACCACTTTTCCCAGTTAAAAAAATAATAAATAATGATATTTAAAAAATAGGATTGTGTGTGTGCACATACATGCATGTATTCATTTCCAAATTATGTACATATTTTCTTATATGTCATTATCCTATAAAACACATAATATAAATTTTAATGATGTGAAAGAGGTAATAATCTTGATGAAATTCATTTTCATTTATTAACAGTATGGTAAAATTTTTTTTCACTTTGTATTAATAATTCAATATGCTTTATCTTTTAAAATCTTATAACATTTTGTCACAGTAATTGAGACAGATTTTGAAGTTCACTTTACTCTCAATAATTATATAGGAAATTTTGTTTAAATTTGCCTGATTAATTTTTTGCATTTAGTGATTGTAATGCTAATATGTATATTCTGGTATTCCGTACTATTTTTAAGGTTCAAAATACTAGTGCTTTTGTTAATTTAACATTGTTATTTTGGAAAAAAACAGTAAGTTTGTTCACCTTTGTTTCTGTCTGGAAACAACCAATAGGTTTGTTCACCTTTGTTTCTCTCTTCAGTCCTCCAGCCTCTCCTTTCCTCTACTTCTCTGTCTCTTCCCCTTCATTCTTAACACCTTCCTTGTTGTATCATATCACTCAATTCCAGCAACTACCTCTGCTGCGCACAAACACACACATATACACACACACACACACCCAAAGAAAAAAAATAGTGGCTTAGATGGAGTCCTCAAAAAAGTTAGTGTTTCCTTTGAAGCATTGTAATGTATTTTTATAAGTTAATCTTTTATTTGATGCTTTGCACTGTTTGTAAATTTGCACATTTGAAATATATTGAATATTTAATTAACTGTTTTTGTGCTGTGATGCTGAAATCAAACCCAAGTTCTTACAGGCACTAGGCAAGTACTGCACAACTAAGCTATATCCCAGCCCTTAATTCACTAATTTTGAAACATTTTATACTTCTAAACACTTTTTAAGTAAAATAGTAGTATTAATATGTGCATTACATGCAATAAATGTCAAGATACTGGTAGTGTCATTTGCTTTTGTGCTATATTCCTTTGATTTTTTTTGTTATATTTTCTAACAGGTTCAACGGTCATGCAAATTCTTCATTTAAAAGCTTTTAAATTAAAAAAAAATTGAATCCATGTGCATAAAATTGCAGGAATGAATTTTTATTGGTGATAGACGTCAATTTAACAATAAAATCATGTAGCAATGGAAACATTTGTAAACATCCATTAGCAAAATGTTCTTTATATGAGTTTTTTTTAAAGCAACTACTTTCTCAGTCACTATTAAAACATTGCCTTTACCTTGAAGAGAAAGAGGGATTAAGTATATGAGGGGAGGCTTGTGGAGATTTCTTATTTTTTTGTTTTTAATATCTGCCTTGGCCACAAGATACCTAAGAACTTCTAGACAGTATAAAAATTTTTTGTTCCTTTTAATTATCCACTTTTTAGATAATAAAAAGACTTATAATAAAGATGTATCAAAAAGATTGGCAATAAAAAGGTTTTTTTTTTATCACCCCTGTCCTTTTTTTTTTTTTCTTGCAGTACTGGGATTTGAACTCTGGGCCTCACTATGCAGGTGCTCTACCACTTGAGTTGCTGTGACAACCCCTCTCAATTTTTAAAACACTATTTCTTTGCTTCTTTTGTCCATACCTGGCTAACTCCTTTATATCCTTTAAGATTCAACTCAATTATAAGTTCCTCAGAGGTCTGATATAGCCCCATCTTCTATGTCACACATGCACACATTCCCTACACACACCCAGCATCACATAACCATCTCTCTTGCTTCCCTGGTTGCACGTGCTCTCTCTCCTTTTCACATTTTCTCTCTGGATCAGAATTGTTTATTTTCCTGTTTCCTCCAACGAAGCAATACCAACTAATGACTAAAATAGAAAAAAAAATAAATATGGGCTCAACCAATGGCAATAGTGATTAAAGATGGAGTGTAGAGCAAGGTTTTTGTGAAAGCGGATGTTGTATAGGTATCAGAGGAGGTGAGAAATACGTCAATGAGTCAGGGATTACTGATATTTTTTCTAGTAGCAGCAAGGAATTTCTAGGTGCCATGGCTTAATTAACTTCTTTTTCTATCCTCTTTATTGAAAAGCTGCCTGGCAGACATAAAGTGTTTTACCAAACATGTAGAAGCAAGTACAGTTCATTACTTAAATGTTTATTTGCATGACATTTTTTGAATACCTGATTTCCTTTTCATTTTTTTAAACAAATGACTCCAACCTGTCAGGTGCTGGAGTGCCTCAGCTTTCATAGGGATGTGAATAAATAAGCCAAGGTCTCCCTGTTGGGTAGTAGCCTCCTTAAGAGTCATGGAATTGTTATTAAACTTAAGAGAAGCATAACTGGTCAGTAGAAGGGTGGAGACAGACCTAAAGGCCAAACATTTTTAAGGAATTTAAGGAGTGGAACCTAGAAAAGGTGTCAGTAGAAATGCTTCTCTGTTTATAAATGTATTAAATGAACTCATGAGATTTGAGTCACATTTTAAAATATTTTGCAAATTTTGCTTAATATTAAAACATTTTTCCCTGTGGCATGACTGTAAATATTTACAAGGTGAGACAAATATAACCTCTTTATTTTCAATGTGGCACAACTGAACTACATATCATATGGGAAATAACATTGACAGGGAGCAGTGATGTGAAACTGTTCAAAAGAAAAAAGCTTGAGTCTTATTCTGAATATCATCCTCTGTGTAGTGTTGCTTAATTTTAAAGGTGTTTTAAGATCCATCTGAAGTTCACTTTAGAAATATATTTCATTATCTCAAATGAAGCTTTAAGCATGTGTTTCTAATAATGCAGTAAAAATATGCTGAGTTGTATTAAAGTGAATCTGTTTTGAAAAGATTCCAAAATATTTATTTGACTAGTCACTCAGCGTCTCAATGAAAACAGTTGGAAAAGAAAACTTTCAGAGTCATTTTGCTCTCAGAATACCCAAGCCAACTAAAGGGTACAGTTAACACTTCTGTAAGTGGCCAGGAGCCAAGAAATTTAGCATTCCCTGGACTGCTTTTCAGCAGACTTTCAAATCAGCTTGGTAGTTGATATTGATACCATTGAGTTTTCAGAGTAAAAACCTACCACATAGGACATCCATATCTCTTTCTACCAATATTGTACTTATTAGTCTCTAACCCATAATTAGCTTCAATCTGTCTTACGTTGGCATTCTTGAATTTTGTGGGGGTACCGTTTTTGCAAGGAAGGGAATGTGCTATAGAGTGTGACCCTCTCTTCTTCGGATATCAGTATTTTCACATTGTTTTTAGTACTACCGAGTGTCATAGGAAGTATGTAAATTATGGAGTACATCATAGTGTGTTTGGGGAAGATTGATAATTATGCTAGCTACCAAATGTGTAAGTACCCACCGAACCATTTATTTTCATTATATCCCTTGAAGTTTATTGATTCTACTTAATGCGTTTAGCACTAATATGCTTTGTATATATATATGTCATGTTGATCGGTATTCATGTATTTGCTCCATTAATTTCTCTACTTACATATTCATTGATTTGAACTAGATTGTACCCACCATATTTAGATGATGTTGTGGAGAATAAATAATGAATCACAAACTCTATATACTAGTTAGGCAGAGAAGACTAAATTCATTATCTATACTACCATTTCTCAAATATCACAGTTGGTCGGAAAAATAGCAGAAATTAAATTTTCAGTCACTTGGTTTTTCAGGTATTTCCCACAAGATTAAATTAACAATGTCTCTAGAAATGATTACCATACTTCAATATATTTTAAGCTTCTTTCAGAACCAATAAATGTAGAGGAGTTGTATGAAACCAATGATAAATCTCTTTCTTCATTATTTTGATCTGTGTATAATGTAAAATGGCAAATTATGTGTATTATTTAGTACACAGTATTGTTTGTTACTTCAAGGGGTCTGAGATTTAGCAGAGGAATGCATTGGTCTCATGCAACTCTGCCTCATCTTTCCATTTTGAATAGCATTACTGGAAGCTTAGAAGTCAAATGTGGGAATTTCAGAACAGAACTGAAGAGGCTGATGAGTGAAAATGATGATTGAAAACCAGAATCTGCAGTTCATTAGGACACAGTCATGGGAAGGAAGCATACACATAAATAATAGGATAATAGAGTACGTTGCCAAAATCCAAGAAAAGTAGAATGAGGAAATTATCTCTGGTGTCCTAACATTCTACTTGATACTACTTTGGATAACTCTCACAAGGAAGATGGTTTTGATCACTAGTTATTAGTACATGAACTGAGAAATAGGAATTTTTTTTATTTTAGGAAGTAACTTTGGCTCATAAGGAAGGGTAGAGACTTTAGTAGAGGGACACTTTTATCTATAATTTCTCTGATTTAGTGCCAAAAGCTATTCAGAGACTAGTCAAAGCTGTTTCTAAGTTTCATCGCTAGAAACTGACAGCTTCTATATTTCATTTTTTTCCTTTGATCTATTTCTTTTTAATAACTGAGTTAAGCTCTTTCTATTCTATCTCCTCTGTTGCTAAATTCCTGAAGATTAAGAAGTGTGTTTAAAGTAAAAGCATTATGAGACAAAAGCTGTATTCTGAATAGGATAATACTTCTTTTGTGGTATTTTCTTTTCCCACCAAAAGTAGGAAGTGAATGCCCTGACTTTGTGAATCCCATTTCTAATAGAAGACAAGAAGTTACTTTCTTCAATGACTGACTTCCAGAATTTTTGCCTGAATGTTTTTAGTCAAGTATATATTCCCTTCTTTAGGCCTTTCTATATAGAGCCCACAAACATCGTCAATGTGAATGATGTCATTCAGAGGGTTAGTGACCATGCCTCTGCCATGAACAAGAGGATTCATTACTACAACCGGCTCACTGCTCCTGCAGACAAGGCACTGGTAAGAGGCAAAGCATTGCTAATTGTCTAAAGTTGAGTTGAAATGAACAGTGAACAACATAAACCATGGCAGCTCCCACTGGTTGAACTTTTTGCTGGCTGTATTCCAAGGACAGTATCATGCAGAGTTGAAGATAATATTTAATGCATGTCCTATGTTTCAGTCTAGTTAAGTCTTATCTAGCCTGGCATAGAAATATATGACACTATCTCTCTGTTGACAATAGCCTGGAGATATTTTGGATTAAATTCTGCTTATCCCCTCTCCCAAGAGCTCCACAGAAGATAAATTACTTTTGAAGTGGTAGCTTAGATCATCTATTAACAACATAAGATTCTGGTTAGTCTGTTCAGTTTTTAAGTTTGAAGTTATAAAGGAAAAATGTCTTCAGAAGTTTTCTGCAAGAGTGGAAACTGAAATATGCTCATACACATATGTAATGTTTTCCTTTTTAACAATATCTTTTTATAGACCAAATATAAGGGTCAATTGACCAGATAGTACAGATTTAGGCTTTGCAGACCACATACTGTCACAAGTTGTTCTTTATTTTGTCCTATAACCATTAAAAACAAAAAAAAGAAAAAGAATTCTTAGGGAAGAGGCTGTGAATAGTCAGATTAAAGGCCAGTTTAGACCATGGGCCATAAGTTTGTGGACTCTTGGTCATCTAAAATCTGTATTATAATTTTAGGATTAAAAATGTATAATTTGGTTACTTATAAAAATTATCACATATAAGATTCAGAAAATTTAAAATCTTAAAAATAGGAACATTCTAAGAGAAAAAAAATTTTTGAAATAGGTGTTAGTAATAAAAAGGAAGAAAGGAACCAACATTCACTAGATGTTTGCCAGGGGGTAAGGACTTATCATCACTTGAACAGAGCTATCTCTTTTAGTCCTTATAATGGCTATTGTGAAGGAAGCATTAAGATCTTTTGTGAGCTAGAGGTGTGGGTCAAGTGGTAGAGCACCTGCCTAGCAAGCACGAAGCCCTAAATTCAAACTCCTATACTGCTATACTTTGTATAGCCAAAGAAAGTACATCCAAAATGCTGTGAGTAGGGTAATTTTTTTGCAATCCTTTTGTTTCTTCCCCTAGGCCTTTATATTAGTAGTGACGTCAAAGTCTTAGTCGCATAATAGAATTATCAAAGCCCTTTGGGGTATCTCATGGTCTAGAACTGTACTTTTGGAAGCCAGATACCAACTGGGCAAGTCTAGGACTAAATGAACATTTTTTGCCTGGAAGTGAAGTCAGTATCATGCACTTATTGAATCCCTTTTATTAACCCACACTGAGATGACTAGAGTAAATCAAAATATATAAACAGCAATCTAAAGTTAGCAATGTGGTATAACTATTTTTAATGGATATGTGTATATTCCACATTCGTTTTCTGAAAAATCCAAAATTATATTTCCTGTCTTTTTCTTTTTTTCATTCTTTTTTTGGCAGCACTGGGGTTTAAACTCAAGGCCTCATGCTTGCTAGGCAGGCGCTCTACCACTTGAGCCACTCCACCAGCAAAATTATGTTTACTAAATGATTTTTTTTAGGGAAGAACAAAATGAAACTACTGGTATTGGGTGTTTATAAACCTTTTTATTTATGAAAATTTTCCCTTTTACCTTAACACTTTTATTCTAAAAGGGGGAAGGGAAGAAAATGATTTGTCTGCCAGTATCTCCTAGATCCTTACTAATAAAATTATACTTTGCACAAGATCAGTGTTATTCACATCACTGAGAGCTTAGTAGAAATGCAGAATTCCAGGCCTTTCTTCAGACCTACTGAAGCAAAATCTGCATATTAATGATCCCTGTGTGAGTTACAGAAATATTCAAGTTTGAAAGCACTGCCATATACCAGTGTTTCTGAGTCTCCTAAGAATTTGCCACATTCTCCCCTACCTATTCTCCATGTCTCCCTATTCACAATATACAGCAGGCATAGGACCAGGGGTGGGATACATGGGGTAGGTTTACTCTGCCTCACCTCTCTGTATAGTCAGTGTAAGAACTCAGCCAGAAATTTAATTTTTCTCTAATCCCATCTCTTATAGCTTTTGATTTTCACTTTTTCTGAATTTGCTTTGCTAGCTATAGTTGGTTTTCTCCTACTTGATAGACATAGTCTTGTCCGTTTTTCTTTTTCCACCTGGCAGAAGACAAAAGAATGATGTACTGATTCCGTACGTCAGAGTTAAACACTTAATTTTTATTCTGTCTTGTAGCCTTGCTTAATTTTTTCATGTGTCCTCCATCTATAACTTAAGCTTGTTGAAGTTTGAAGCTGTGCATTATTTTGCTCTTGAATTCTAAACCTAGCATAGTAGGTGCTAAATATAAAAGATAAAATATAAAAGTTCATACCAGTCAGATTCTAAGCCTTTAAGGACTACCTATTCTCAGGGAGATAGGCAGAATTCATGAGGAAACAGTATATTTTTCCCCTTTTAAACAGGAAAGTAGAATTAGGAAGAAATGTAGGAGGCAGGGGAGGAGTTATGTATGTAAGAAACATCTGTTCAATCATTCTCTCTGTTATACCTCCAACTTCTCTTTATTGGCTCTTTCCCTTTTACTTTTACACTTATGTTTCTTCTGTCTGTAAAATCCTTACTTTGTCTTTTCCTTAAGCAACTTCAGGTTACGTGTTTCTTCGTTACCAAAGTATTTTTCAAAATAGTCTGCATTTATTATTCATTTCTATTCTGTCCATTGACTCCTCAGCTCTTTAAAGTCTGAGATTCCTGTCTGACTTTGCTAAACCACCTTCATATCAGAGTTCAGTAATCACTAGGTTCTTGAAATTCCCCTCACTTAAGGCCATTCTCCTCCATCTAGATTCCCTTAATTTTAATTTTACTGTTCGCTGGCTCCTTTCCCTCCTTTCTCATTAAAATGAAGAGAAAATATTCTGACCCATGTATAAATTCTTGCTTCTTTAGATCTGCCACTACATTTGAAAAAGGAATATTTTAATTCACTAATCAGGGATATATAGTATTTATTTGTTCATGGTATTTGGAAATGTGTCTAGAGCCAGATACTCTGATATATAGAAAAATATCCTAGTTGCACATTTACTGGTTCTGGTATTTCTTTGTTTCTTTGTCACCAGATTGCTCCAGACCATGTGGTTCCACCTCCAGAGCAGTGCTACGTGTATAGTCCATTAGGTTCTGCTTATAAACTTCAAAGTTACACTGAAGGATATGGTAAAAACACCAGTTTTGTAACCATGTGAGTAAAATTACTTTTTGGAGTATGACTTAAACTGTAGGTGAATGAAAATTACTCATTATTTTAAGTTCTAAAATGTTTGAAGAATCTAACGCCATATTTTTACTATTGTTACTGTTTTCAGTTTTATGATTTGGAATACCATGATGGGAACATCTATACTAAGTATTCCTTGGGGCATAAAACAGGTAATATAATTTTTTAACACACTTCTATCTGACATATTTTATATGCCTGTAATCCCAGCATTTGGGAGAGAGAGGCAGGAAGATTGTGAGTTCAAGGCCAGCTTGGGCTACCTAGTAAGTTTCAGGTCAGTCTGGGCTATATAGGAAGACTCTGTCTCAATAATAGTAATAATTAATAATAATGATAATAACCTTGAAATATTTTCTCTGTGTATAGTAAGTTTTACAGTAAATCTACATAAAATTCCTTAAAGAAAATAATTACAGTTTATTAATTGTCAGGTTTTTATCATGATTGTTTAGGGTAACAATGTGATTGCATATTTATTCTTACATGATGATAAATGTCCTATATTTCTAATTCTAAACAGGCTGGATTTACTACTGGAATGTGTGTGATCATGCTGATGGGCTTTTTAACACTTTATTGCTGCTACAGAGTGGTGAAATCACGGACTATGATATGTAAGAATTTTGGAAGTAGATTATTGATATGGGGATTAATAAGTTATTTCTCATTGAGGCAGATCCTAATGTGCATGTTCCACATGTGTGTGAACTATCTACTTTATAATTAAAGATTTACTCTTTTCAGCAAACCAATCTGTTAATGCATTAGTGGCTTCTTTGAAATTCAGAGAGGTTGGGAGTTCTTTGCAGAATCCATTCACTTTGGTGCTAATTTCCTCATAAGAATAATTTTTAAAAGTCATATTTTTAAAATAAGACCTTTTGAACTGGGGTTGAGGCTTAAGTGGTAGAACATCTGCTAGCATGTGCAAGACCCTGAGTTCAAACCCCATTATTGCAAAAAAAAAAAAAGGCATTTAATAGAGTTTAGCACCTATTCCTGATTAAAACTCTTAGTGAACAGTACTATTAGGTAAAAGATAGTACTTAAACAACTGTTTATCCCAAACCAGCTACCAGTTTCATTCTAAAGTGATAAAATGATAAAACCATTCCATTAAAGTGAAAAAAACATAGAAAGGTAAAAAGAGAATCTTATTAGAAATGCAGAGTCATTAGTGCTATTAGAATTAATAAAAGAATTTGAAAGTTCACTATATTATAAAGTCAGGGATCAGCAACTAGAACTACAAGGCAGAAAAATATTATTTCATTCACAATAGCAATAAACTCTAATACACTTAGAAATAAATTTAGCAATAGAACAACACAGCTGTTGAAAGAAAAACATTAAATCATAGCTAAGAGAAAGAACAAGATCTAAACAAGTAAGAAAAATATGCTGTGTTATTAGAAAGACTTACTATCATAAAAAAGTCAAATATATAAATTCAGTCCCATTTCAATGAAAATTCAATTTGGGCTTGGATAAATATGACCTTAAAGTTAATATGGACAGATGAATGCCTAAGTAAAGCCAAGAAAATTAGGAGGAAAAAAAAAGAAGAGGTATGAAGAAATCAGATTTACCCAGTACTAAATCATACTTTAAAGCCACTATAATAAAGCAAAACAATACTATCATAAAAAAAAAAAAGATAGAATGGGATAGGAACCATAACTCCCCAGTTTCTATGAGAGTTTATAATGTATCGTGTCATACTTGGTGTCTATTCAACCTTTACCTCATTGGGAAAAGCAACCCCTGTGTGACACCCTACACACAAAAAAAATGTATTCCAGATGACTTAAAGAATTAAATGGGAAAAAAATAAAGTCATAAAAATATTAGAGAAAATTTAGGAGTTTGTACATTAAGTAGCAGTTGAGATTTTTCTAACCAATATTAAAAATGTAGAGTTTTTCAAAGAAATCTGTCCCAGAGCTCTGGAACATCATCACTATCCTGACGAATGATGAATTGGCCAGAGACAGCCACCTACCTCTACTAATTTGTAGAAAAAACAAAGCCATAAAGATCACGTTCAAAAGTTGTAATGAAACCTTTTGACCAAAATATAAATTGATTTGTTATGTGATTCTACTTAAGAAGATGGCTGTCATTCAGTATTCAGTGAGAACTTTTTCTGTGCTATGTCTGTAAGTCATCTTATTCTCTGTAAAGTCCATCTTAATCGAACATTTAAAGGTAAAATACTTCCCCTTTCTTTTTTGCTTATTCCTTTTGAGTCTGGATATCCTGGCATCTGTAAGAATGATGTTAGTGTAATATCATGATAATACTTACATGAGACAATATTTGAGGAATAGATCAGTGCTTCATTGTTCCTGCTGTTTTTTCCATACCAGGGATTGAACCAAGGCCCTCAGTACATGATGGGCAAGCACTGTACTGCTTAAGCTATGATCCCACCTTTTTGTTCTTAGGTTATTGAACAGTAACCTAAAAACAAAACCTTGGTCCTCCTATCTATGTCTTCCATGTAGCTGAGATTACAGATGTGGACCACCATGTCAAGCTTATTTGTTGAGAGGGGGGGGTCTCACTTTTTGCCTGGGTTGGCCTCAAACTGTGATCCTCCCAATCTCTGCCTCCCAAATAGCTGGTATTACAGGTGTGATCCTGGCCTGTCATTTATATCTCTTAATGACTACAATTATATGTGGTGTTTCTGTTTTACTTGCTTCATCATCGCCCCACTATTGAATGTTTGAATCATTCCTATTTTTGCTATTCTAATACTCTAAAAATATTTTGCACATATTTTGTAAATTCTTCTGAATCACTTTCTTTAAATTTTGTCAAATAAAAACAAAATTTGTGCACTGGGGGTATAAGGTAGTGGTAGAGCACATGCTTAGCTTGTACAGGCTCTAGGTTCCATCCCCAGGACCTGAAAAAAAAGAAAATTGTTAAGTTTATTTCTGAGATCTGTGTTAATTTACACTCAGCTGATGTATTCTGATCACATTTCTTTATGTTTGTTCTGTAATGTGTTAATTGTTTTATTTCATAATATATTCTAATATCTGGAGGTAAAATACCCATAGTCTTTTGCTAGAATTAATTAGGTGAACCCAAATTATGGATATACAATATCTCACCAACATCATTATTTCCTTTTCCTTCTGTTTTTAATCTAGGTTCCCTGGATACCAGTACCTGGGAATACCCAGATGTCTGCAGACATTATTTTGGCAGCTTTGGGCAGTGGTCAAGCCTCCTTTTCTCCCTGGTGTCCCTCATTGGAGCAATGATAGTTTATTGGGTGCTTATGTCTAATTTTCTTTTTAATACTGGAAAATTTATTTTTAGTAAGTATCAGTATCACGTACTTTCACAGTTACTCTCAAATACAATTACTAATGTAATGTTTTAATTTCAGCCTTAAATTATATGAGTTGGGATATATAAAGTAAGAAATAAAGCAAGTACATAATCCTGGGAAGTATACTTGATTTGGTTTATTTTCTGTCATTGTGACCTCAGATAAAATGTGTACAGTCATTTCCAAATTTTTAGTGAATAATGTTCCTTCAAAATCTCAAGTTACTATAAAATATTTTTATAACTCAGCAGATATATTGAGCTTTGTTTCTATCTTTATCAGAAACTTTTAGTACTGTAACAGAAAAGTTCATAAAAGTCATTGGTGTTTGTGCTATAATTTGATGCATATAAATTTCAGTCACTTTCCCCCAACATTTTATAGAAGTTCATTATAAAGATTATAATAGTAACCAAATATCTTCTAGTTAGTTGCTTGTCTTCACTTTGTAAATGCTGTCTCTATTCTGTTTTTTATTTTACTTTCCAGAACAATCCAGTCAGAATTTGATTGAAATTGCATTAAATTTTTCAATCAGTATGCCATAATTGATGTCCTGAGTGTACTGAGTTTAGGATTTGATAAGAATTCCATTGAATTTATAGGTGTGAAAGAAGCTGTATCATTAGTATTATTGAGTTTTCCTATCCATGGTTATGGTATGGTATAGGTTCTCTGTTTATTTAGGTCTTTTTAAAAGTCTTTTAATTTTTTTTCTGACAATTTTTTATAAATGTTTTAATTTAACATACAACACATGTACTTTTTGTTATTAGAAATTTCAAACATATATAAAACACACAGAACAATATAAAGAATCCTCATGTTTCCCTCATCTAGTGGGTTTCATTATATTTCTTTATACATAGACACAATGTAACTCAATATTATCCACCCCCCATTCTCTTTCCCTTTCTTTGCTCACTTCTGCTCCCCCAAACAGTCCTACAATTGCATTTATGTGTGTGTGTGTGTGTGTGTGTGTGTGTGTGTGTGTGTGTGTGTGACCTTGGCTTGTTTCCCATGCTCTCCTTGAGCCTGAGATGGATGTTCAGGAATCTGCACATGCTTTTTTCTTTGCCTTCTCCTTCAGTCTAACTCAGTGATTCTTATGAGCATAATAATTACTGTATAGCCATGGGTCTAAAAAAAGCGTGTACTGTACTTTGTGAAAACGTTTAGTGATTTCCCAAGTAAGTTTAGCTGTGTATGAATGCTGATTTTTCCTTTTTGCTTGCTTTAGAACCTTATAGGGCTGGGGATATGGCTCAACTAATAGAGTACCTGCCTCGCAAGATCAAGGCCCTGAGTTCAGTCTGCCAAAAACAATTAAAATAACCTTATATAAAATATAGATATACTTATAAGAATTAGTGTGAGTACAGGAAGAATACATATGTATATATATTATCTTCATTTCAGACCTTTTAACTCTTTTAACTATCATTAATTCAGCCTTGTGGGAGGATAATTTTTTTAGATCTTCAATCTTGTAAAAAACTTTCCATAGTGGGACTGTGAAACCAATGACATTACTATAAATGAAGAAAACTATAGAAGGTGAAGATACGTTAACAATGAAGTAGTTTTGACTCAGTGAACTAGATAATATTACATGTAGTAGATTTTTTTAAATCTTGATAGATAAAAAAGCTTTAGAAAGTGATAGAATTTGGCATCTTTCATTCATTGTTAAACTATATTTTGTGCTTCATTTTTAGATTTTTTTCATCATATTAATGACACAGACGTTATACTGAGAACCAATAATAGCAACCTTGGTAAGTAGTTTGGAATTTACTTTGTTTCCTTATTCCCCATCTTTCTCCAAAAGGATTTAAGGCGAACTTATGTGGACATTAGATCAAGGGCAAACACAACAATGGGATTAGACTATGAGCACATGATAAAAGCGAGAGCACACAAGGGAGGGGTGAGCATAGGTAAGACACCTAAAAAACTAGCTAGCATTTGTTGTTCCTAACGCAGAGAAACTAAAGCAGATACCTTAAAAGCAACTGAGGCCAATAGGAAAAGGGGACCAGGTACTAGAGAAAAGGTTAGATCAAAAAGAATTAACCTAGAAGGTAACACCCACGCACAGGAAATCAATGTGAGTCAATGCCCTGTATAGCCATCCTTATCTCAACCAGCAAAAACCCTTGTCCCTTCCTGTTATTGCTTATACCCTCTCTACAACAAAATTAGAAATAAGGGCAAAATAGTTTCTGCTGGGTATTGAGGGGGGGGGAGAGGGAGGGGGCGGAGTGGGTGGTAAGGGAGGGAGTGGGGGCAGGGGGAAGAAATGACCCAAGCCTTGTATGCACATATGAGTAATAAAAGAAAAAAAAATGACCCTATTTTGGGTAAATGGTTAATGAAAATTTGTTATTATGTTAACTGAGCTCCTACTAAATTGTAGGTAATCAATATGTCTTTTAAAAAACTCAAAACACAGTTCATGTGAGCTGGGCAATATTTAGTTTACTGGCTGCACATCCCTAAGCAAAAACTCTAAAATCTAGAATGCTTCAGAATCGGATGGGGAGAGGGCACTAGGGATATAACTCCACACTAGAGCATTTACCTAGCATGCACTAGTTCAATCCCCAACACTAAAAAAACAAAACCAAAATTGGATTAGGGATGAACAACTACATCTGGTAAAGTCTATGCAAATATTCCAAAATCTGAAACACTTCTGGTCCCAAACTTTTCAGATTAAGGGATACTCAAATCTGTATTTTACAATTCCTAGTTGTATTCATATTTAGCTATGAAATAATCAATATTTTCAAGAATTTGCATCACTTCCAATTGTATGCCCAGAAGTATACCTCTCAGTTCATTAATGTAGTTTCAGGTGTGTATTCATTTTGTTACTAATATATAGTCTACACTTATTTGTAGAATATAGAAAAATTTCCTGTTAATGAACAGAAACTAATAAATATGGAAAAATAAATGGAAGCTTTGGGTCCAAAATAATCTAATTTCTTAGCAAAGTTTAATTTGTTTATTAAAAATAAGTGCTTGGGGCTGGGGTTGAATTCAACAGTAGAGCACTTGACTAGTATGTGGGAACCTTTGGGTTTGATCCCTGGCACCACACAAAAAAATTTAATTTAAAAAGTAAAAATAAAGCAAACTGTTGTGGCCAATGGATTTAATCCAATATGGAAGTCCTAGGGAAAATTGACCATCACCTAAAGCTTTTATGCTATATTTAGTATGTGGTAGGAACTATTTTAAGCACTCGCGATATGATAGTGAGCAGATAATAGTCTCTTCTCACATGAAGTGTACAGTGAGGAATATATTACCCAAATAATCTACCATTTGTTAACACTAGAAAATGAATGAGTGAAGAACCAGCCTTTATTCTATGGATACATACATACTTTGAGTTACTTACTAAAATCTCACGCATCCCACCCTTCACCTCAGAATTTTCAAAAGACCAAATAGCATCCTTGTCGTAAAAGAGAAAATGATTTTACTATATAGCTATTCTGAGCTCTATTGATGAAACTAGTTCATTAATATCTCATAGAATTTCTTCTTCTCTAGGGAGTCAGTTCATCCTTAAGATCTTATGTATCACAGTTACATTGATGATTAGGAGAGCACCATCAGCAAAGTCAAAGTTCATATTACATAGCAATATCTTATGTTAATAACGCCACTTCTTGATTTCTCATTTAATGTTTATTTTGAACAGTGTGGCAAATAGAGTATTATGAAACAAACCATCTCAGTTAGTTCTAAAAATATTTAGCTAACATTTATGGAATACTTACTGTGTACAGGCATTTTCTAAATGTTTTATAGTGGCCCTGTAAGTTAATACCCTAAATTCCACTTTATAGATGAAGAAATCAAGACACAGAGTTAACTTGCTCAAGAACATTTAAACATTAAGTGACAGAGTCAGTTTGTTTCTATAGTCTGTAAGAAAATATCTGTCCAGAACATAGAAGAAAAAAGATACCTGTTAAAATGCTAAGGAGAAAGAAAATGAGTTGTCTTCATAGCATGCAAAATAATGGGTAGAGAATAAAATTCACAGTGGAACTTAACGAATGTTCTTTTCTTTTTGAAAGGTGATGAGTGTGATACTTGCTTAGTGTGTTTTTTACTAGCTACTCAGAATGGAAGCAGAAGGGTAATGAGTTCAAGGCCAGACCAGGGAAAGTTGTAGAGCCCCTACCCCAAAAACAATAAAGAGCAATGCTCTGCATTCAATTCTCAGTACCAGAAAAAATTTAAAAGATTTCTGTACAAAGAACTGACTACTAGCAAAAGCTCTATTGTGAAATTAGAAACAAAGTAAGAATAGTTTGTACTTTATCTAAAAACAGAAGAAATTGCCATCTATAGATCAGTGTTAAGAAAAATGCATTTTCCTGATTGCCCAGTTCTCAGAATATCATCTGGATTCTATCAGGTGTAGTGGACTTCCAGAATTATTTTGGGCTGCTAAAATTCAAGGTGGCGAGTTTCCACCAATGATTGGGTTTTCTTGGTATCATGACAACTATTTCAGCTGTATTTATTCCAACCCCATAGATTTTGTTTGTTATCAGAAAAAAAAAGTCTGCCCTTGGCCTTTGTATGAGTTTTTAGTACAACAATTACCCTGAGTGATACTTCTTGCATTACTGTATAAATAAAGCCAAATACCAGCCACAATATTTTCTCTCCAGCAATGGGACCAAGGGATATTTGGTGGGATTTTTTTATAGTGTCCAGTAGAGGTTAAGAATAAACCTCAACATTTTCTAAGATTCTCTCACCTTTCATTATTTATTTTTAGATGAAGGATTCCTAATACAGCTAAACATAACCCTCTTCCCCGCCCCGGAAAGGAGAAAGTTGGGCAAGTGTCCGTCTCTGGGGACAGTGACTATCTGGTTTTGTGGTCTTCTCTAATATGGTGCTTTCCTGTTTGCAGTGATTTGTCCAAGTGCTGACAGTGGCGGCCATCCTGACAACAGCTCCATGATCTTTTACACCAATGACACAGAAGTCCAACAATTTGAAAAATGGTGGAATAAGTCCAAAACAGTGCCCTTTTACCTTATTGGACTCCTCCTGCCACTGCTCAATTTTAAATCTCCTTCATTTTTTTCAAAATTTAATATCCTAGGTAAGACATGATACTGAGTTGTTGGAACCTCTGTGTAGTAGAATACATGGTAGAGTGTGTGAAGAGGTTTGAGTAGGGAGAAAGTTACTTTCCAGGCCTGTTATCGATGTTTAATTCGTTCATTCATACAGCACCTGCTTTTTGTCATTTTTTTTGTTTTCTATGGCGTTTGGCACAGAAAAGAATGTAGATAACTATTTCAATTGCCTTTTTGGTTTCTGGGTTTTTGAGACCTTGTTTCCCACCTAACCTTACTGAACATCCCTTCTTTATTTCTTCTGAGGATACAACAAGAGGAATTATACTAAAATTTCAGGAAGAGATATCAAAATGGATATTATATGAATCCTCAATTTTAAGGGCTGGAAACATTAGGACTTACTAAAAGAGGTGAAGGAGTAGTTTTCACTTAAGGGTACACAGAATTCTCACCTGACTTTAAATATGGGAGATCATTCTGTAGCACCAACTGGTTCTTCCTCCTCCCAATCCTCCTACCCCCAAATCCTGGGACTCAAACTTAGGGCCTTGTGTATACTGGGCAAAAGGTTCTATCACTGAGCTGTACACCCAGCCCTAGCTCAAACTTCTTAGATTTATCTTGCTTTTGTTCTCTTCCTCAGTGCTTTTTCTTTCTTAGAATACTACTGTCTCTTTAAAGGAATAGAAGTCTTTCTGAGAACACTGGTTTTCCAAAATCACCAAGGTGACATTTGTCCCTATTTAAGATGGCAAAAAGAACTGCCAGTGAAAGCCTTGTTAACTAAAGAAAATATGGTGATATCATTCATAAAGAATTGATAGGCCCATGACTGGAGATGTGGCTCAAGTGGTAGATGCCTGCTTTGCATGCAGGAAGCCCTGAGTTCAAACCCTAGTTCCACCAAAAAAAAAAAAGAATTGATAGGCCCAAACAGTGGGATTTTTACTCCTCCTTTTATGTCTGATCTGGTAGGCAACCTATAGTATACATTAATCAGATTATCCAAATTAGCTATTATACCAAGAACAGGAGGTACAAACCCAAAGTATAAATGGATTTCCAGAAGACAAAGGAGGAGGATGTAAAGATCCTTCTGCATACCTCTCTACCACCAGACAGGATTCACTGTAAGCCACCATAAACACAGAGAAAATGAGGAGTTGTAGTTATATAAGCATTGTCCTCTTGCTTTCATCCTTTCTGAATCAGCTAATCTTTAAACCCACAGTAGGACTTATGTAGCTCATTTGTGGTTTCCTGAATTGCTTGCTGATTTTCCAGGGGAACAAGGTTTTAAAAGCACATTAATTTATTGAAGGATTTGCTCAGTTGGACAAAACAACCACCAGACTTCCAATCAGGTTGATTATACTCCAGTTCCTTAAAGATGTTCTGCTTTTGTCCTTTTCGTGGTACTTTCCCTTTCTTTTACAGTTGTAACTTCTTTAGCGGTATTAGCATCTAAGGACATTCTTAAGTTCCCTGACTATGCTCCACAATGACTAGGCTTAGTTCCTCAAAAGGAATATTCCTGGGCTGGGGGTGTAGCTCAGTGGTAGAATACTTTTCTAGCATGAGCCATGCCTTGGGTTTGGTCCCCAGCACTGAAAAAAAAAATTTAATTTTTATAAAGAAATAGCACTCTAACTTCTACGTTACTAAAAAATATTCTTCATGTCTACTTTACCCCATGTTTAATACCCTGGGAATGGAATCTGGAATCCTTCCATTTAGCAAGCAGTACTACCAATTAGAACCTCATGTAGATACTGGATGAGAATGCTCATGAATTATTTGGCTTATCACCTTTCTTAAATGTTTATGATCTACATTCACTCCTTTCTTTCTTTACTTTATCATTTCACATTAAGTGTTATGACAGGGTTCTCCAGCCTACTGAGTGTCTTTAATCTTTAATACAAAGCGTTGGTGTCATGTTGTTTATTCGCCTGTATAACCTTACAATTTTGATGAACTCTTTGTTTATATCTTCCCCCAAACTTCAGCTCATAAGTAAATTAAGCAGTTTTGCTGTCAGCAATACACAAACTACTTTCATCATTCTTCTTAGGCTTACTACCTAGTTTTGTTTTATTTTCTGGTAACTCACATAACTTACTTCTATTCTTTAATCCCAGCTGGGTTTTATTAGGGATACTCAATGAAGGTAATAATGTTTTATACTTTAGTGAGACTACATAAACAAAACTTAACTTTAAAATATTCTGTAAAAAAGAAATGGACAGATTTCTAGATACATATGATCATCCAAAACTGAACCAAGAGGAAATTAATCACCTGAATAGACCTATAACACAAAATGAAATTGAAGCAGCAATCAAGAGTCTCCCCAAAAAGAAAAGTCCAGGACCTGATGGATTCTCTGCTGAATTCTATCAGACCTTTAAAGAAGAACTGATACCAACCCTCCTTAAACTGTTCCATGAAATAGAAAGGGAAGGAAAACTGCCAAACACATTTTATGAAGCCAGTATTACACTTATCCCAAAACCAGGCAAAGACACCTCCAAAAAGGAGAACTAAGGCCAATCTCCTTAATGAACATTGATGCAAAAATCCTCAACAAAATAATGGCAAACCGAATTCAACAACACATCAAAAAGATTATTCACCACGACCAAGTAGGCTTCATCCCAGGGATGCAGGGGTGGTTCAACATACGAAAATCAATAAACGTAATAAACCACATTAACAGAAGCAAAGACAAAAACCACTTGATCATCTCAATAGATGCAGAAAAAGCCTTTGATAAGATCCAACATCATTTCATGATAAAAGCTCTAAGAAAACTAGGAATAGAAGGAAAGTTCCTCAACATTATAAAAGCTATATATGACAAACCTACAGCCAGCATTATACTTAATGGAGAAAAATTAAAACCATTCCCTCTAAAATCAGGAACCAGACAAGGATGCCCACTATCTCCACTCCTATTCAACATAGTACTGGAATTCCTAGCCAGAGCAATTAGGCAAGAAGAAGGAATAAAAGGAATACAAATAGGTAAAGAAACTGTCAAAATATCCCTATTTGCAGATGACATGATCCTATACCTTAAAGACCCAAAAAACTCTACTCAGAAGCTTCTAGACATCATCAATAGCTATAGCAAGGTAGCAGGATATAAAATCAACATAGAAAAATCATTAGCATTTCTATACACTAACAATGAGCAAACTGAAAAAGAATGTATGAAAACAATTCCATTTACAATAGCCTCAAAAAAAATCAAATACCTAGGTGTAAACCTAACAAAAGATGTGAAAGACCTCTACAAGGAAAACTATACACTTCTGAAGAAAGAGATTGAGGAAGACTATAGAAAGTGGAGAGATCTCCCATGCTCATGGATTGGTAGAATCAACATAGTAAAAATGTCGATACTCCCAAAGTAATCTACATGTTTAATGCAATTCCCATCAAAATTCCAATGACATTCATTAAAGAGATTGAAAAATCTACTGTTAAATTTATATGGAAACACAAGAGGCCACGAATAGCCAAGGCAATACTCAGTCAAAAGAACAATGCAGGAGGTATCACAATACCTGACTTCAAACTATATTACAAAGCAATAACAATAAAAACAGCATGGTACTGGCACAAAAACAGACATGAAGACCAGTGGAACAGAATAGAGGACCAGATATGAAGCCACACAACTATAACAACTTATCTTTGACAAAGGAGCTAAAAATATACGATGGAGAAATAGCAGCCTCTTCAACAAAAACTGCTGGGAAAACTGGTTAGCAGTCTGCAAAAAACTGAAACTAGATCCATGTATATCACCCTATACCAAGATTAACTCAAAATGGATCAAGGATCTTAATATCAGACCCAAACTCTAAGTTGATACAGAAAGAGTAGGAAATACTCTGGAGTTAGTAGGTATAGGTAAGAACTTTCTCAATGAAACCCCAGCAGCACAGCAACTAAGAGATAGCATAGATAAATGGGACCTCATAAAACTAAAAAGCTTCTGTTCATCAAAAGAAATGGTCTCTAAACTGAAGAGAACACCCACAGAGTGGGAGAAAATATTTGCCAACTATACATCAGACAAAGGACTGATAACCAGAATATACAGGGAACTTAAAAAACTAAATTCTCCCAAAACTAATGAACCAATAAAGAAATGGGCAGTGAACTAAACAGAACTTTCTCAAAAGAAGAAATTCAAATGGCCAAAAAACACATGAAAAAATGCTCACCATCTCTAGCAATAAAGGAAATGCAAATTAAAACCACTAAGATTCCACCTCACCCCTGTTAGAATAGCCATCATCAGCAACACCACCAACAACAGGTGTTGGCGAGGATGCGGGGAAAAAGGAACCCTCTTACACTGTTGGTGGGAATGTAGACTAGTACAACCACTCTGGAAAAAAATTTGGAGGCTACTTAAAAAGCTGGACATCGATCTACCATTTGATCCAGCAATACCACTCTTGGGGATATACCCAAAAGACTGTTACTCCAGAGGCACCTGCACATCCATGTTTATTGCGGCACTATTCACAATAGCCAAGTTATGGAAACAGCCAAGATGCCCCACTGACGAATGGATTAAGAAAATGTGGTATCTATACACAATGGAATTTTATGCAGCCATGAAGAAGAACGAAATGTTATCATTCGCTGGTAAATGGATGGAATTGGAGAACATCATTCTGAGTGAGGTTAGCCTGGCCAAAAACCAAAAATCGTATGTTCTCCCTCATATGTGGACATTAGATCAAGGGCAAACACAACAAGGGGATTGGACTATAGCACATGATAAAAGTGAGAGCACACAAGGGAGGTGAGGATAGGTAAGACACCTAAAAAACTAGCTAGCATTTGTTGCCCTTAACCAGAGAAACTAAAGCAGATACCTTAAAGCAACTGAGGCCAATAGGAAAAGGGGAACAGGTACTAGAGAAAAGGTTAGATCAAAAAGAATTAACCTCGAAGGTAACACCCACGCACAGGAAATCAATGTGAGTCAATGCTCTGTATAGCTATCCTTATCTCAACCAGCAAAAACCCTTGTTCCTTCCTATTATTGCTTATACTCTCTCTACAACAAAATTAGAAATAAGGGCAAAATAGTTTCTGCTGGGTATTGGGGGGGAGAGGGAGGGGGCGGAGTGGGTGGTAAGGGAGGGGGTGGGGGCAGTGGGGAGAAGTGAACCAATCCTTGTATGCACATATGAATAATAAAAGAAAAATGAAAAAAAAAAAATAAATAAAATATTCTGTAAAAGACATAAAGATAGTAAATTACCAATTTCTGGATTTTTTCTTACAGGCACAGTATCTGTTCTCTATTTGATTTTTCTTGTTACCTTGAAAGCAATTCGCTTAGGATTTCATTTGGAATTCCATTGGTTTACAACAACAGAATTTTTTGTACCAGGTAAGCTATTTTGGTAAAATAAAAAATTAATAAATTACAATAATGTGATCTTTAAGTTAATTATTATAGTCATTCTAAAACAAGTAATGGTGTTTTTTATGCTAACATTTTTATTAATGCTATTAAGCTAAAAACAGGACTACAATTGGGATTTCTTGCTATCAGTAGTAACCAGGTCCCTTTGTCATTTCTCCTTGGCACTTGCTATTTATTTAAGTTACAATGCAATTTTAAAAATCAGGAGTTCCTTCCCTATACTTACCTAAAACCATACCACTAGAATCTCAGAGACTTAGAACATAACAGTATATATCGATATACTTCTCATTGAAAATTATTATTCTCCATATGTGGTTTTTGTTTTTTTTTAAATAGTACTGTGGTTTGAACTCAAGGACTCATGCTTGCTAGGCAGGTGCTCTACCACTTGAGCCACTCTTCCAGCCCAGTGTGTTTTTTCTAACATTACAATTACTAAAATTGTGATTATTAAATTTTTTCCACCCTCTTTGTCCTCACTTTCACCCAAATTTAGAAGGACATGATAAAAACACCATGAAACAATGAATGAATAATGCTAAATGAGGAGGCAAATTAGCAAATAGAAGGGACTATTATGAAAGTATCTTGAAAACTAATAATGAACAAATAGTATACAATTCTGTGGTTGGTTTAGAAAGACTGCTTTTTTTCCATTCTTCAACCATTGATTCAGGCAGTCTAGGATTCCAAGTATTCAGTAACACTATTCAGTGTTACCTTTCAAGAGATGTAATTGTGGTTGTCTATCACTGTATTTCTTTCCTTTGTTGCAACATTCCTGGGCTTTCCAGGTGTATGGGGTAGGTGGTCATTGGAAGTTGTTTTTATTACCATGGCTACTTGTTTTCAGAACATTTGACTGTACTAATTTTTATTTTTCATTTCCATTAGAAGTTCACTGTAGAGTTCAGGATTAAGGAAGTACTGGGATTGAAAATCACTCTTCTATCCAAAATTGTATTTAGAATTGGATATCCTGAAAATAGCAATTTTAAACTCATTCTTACATTGATAAAAATAGTTGAAGTATTATTTTCTAAAACTAAGTCTACTGTGAATTGGCTTAGTGATGAAAGTTTCTGCTAATGATAGTACATTAGAAATAGGTATAAAGGAAAGGACAAAAGTTACTTAGAAAGCAGAGAATAAAACTATTTAAGTAAATATTAGGCCATTTGTTTCACTTTGTTTCATTTTTAAATGAAACTACATTGTGATTAAAGAATTTCTGAAGAATGAAAATATATCCAGTAGAAGCTTATTAAGAATCAGAGAAGGGCTGGAAGCATGATTCATGTGATAGAGCGCCTCCTAACAAACATGAAGGCCTGAGCTCAAACCCCAGTTCACCAAAAAAAAAATGTAATTAGGAAAATATAATCATGCTGAGTTGGGAGTATGACTGAAGTGGTAGAGTGCCTGTTCAGCAAGCTTATGGCCCTGAGTTCAAACCCAACTACTGCCAAAAAAAAAAAGAGAACTTTGGAGTGGATAGACCTTTACTGTCTTGATGAGAATTAACATAAACTTATAGTTCTGATTAAATCTTTGCTTATATATTTTTAAATTTAAATTTTTACTTTTCACTATGATAGATCTCATTAATCTTCTTCCTAGGTAATTGGGAAAAAAATTGGGAAAATTCCAGTGTAAACATTCATGCTACCCTTTCTTGCCTATTCAAGGACTTTATTTTTGCAGTTATTCCTTTTTTCTCCTAAATCATGTATTATCAGCTTTTTCCTCTGCTGAGCTGTTCCTACTAGTATACAAACCTGCCTTCCAATCTAAAAAGTAAAAATTCATTTGGTTCCATATTGTCCTCGAGCTATTGCCTCCCTTTAAGGAAACTTTTTGGAGGAGTTGCATATACTCACTCTCTCCAAGTTCTTTTCTGTTTTGCTTTGAATTTTCTTGAATTTTCTTCTGTCAATCCAGGGTTTATCTTTTCTCTCCATCTTTATTCCCTCAGTAATGTCATATAGTCATTTTATATATTGTCTTTATGTACAGAATGGTGCCAATTTTGTATCTCTACTCTAGATTCTTTGCTGAAATCCATTCATACATCCACTTACTCTCCTACATCTCCACTTTTTTTGGGGGGAGGGAGGAGTGTACTATGGTTTGAACCCAGGGCCTCATACTTGCTAGGTAGGCTTTCTACCACTTGAACCACTGTTTTCTTCAGTGTCTACCCCTATCCACCAGTCTGCTTAACCTGCTTTTCTCACAGACTTCTCAGTCTTAAAAATAGTAGCTCCAATTTTCCAGTTGAGGTCTTTAACTTTCTTTCTCCAGCTTCCACATCCAGTTCATCCTCAAAATATGTCTGTTTTACTTAAAAACAAACAAACAGCAGCAACAACAAAAAAAAAACCTCTGAGAATCTGACTCGTTCTTACCATTTTTACTAAAAAGAGCTATGCAAGCTGGTTGTTATAGTGGATCACCTACTATATTGTATTGTCTCCACTTCATCTCCCTACCATACTCTGTTCTATACCTAGCAAGCTAGAGTGATATTTTAAAAACACAACCCACAAAATTCTCTAATGATTTCCCATCTTATTCAGAATGACACCAAGTCTTTATCATGGTCCATAAGCCCAATATGATCTGGCTTATAGTATCTTTTTTCACTTAATCTCCTACTCCTTTCCCTCTTTTTCATTCCACTCCAACCACACTGACTTCCTTGTTCCATGAAAATTCCAAGAACACCTTTATCTTAGAATCTTTGCATTTACTCTTCCTTGTATATGAAATATTCTTGTTTTCTTAGATATCTAGATGCTTAGTATGATTAGGTAGGTCTTCCTTGGCTACCTGCCCTCTTCTTTATGCATTATTTTTATTTTTCTATCACTACCCAATCTTGTATGCAATTACCCTTGGTAATCTAACTCTATTAATTCCTGATTTTATAGTGAGTTAAAATATTGAGTTAAAATCATTCTTATCTACTTGCTTCATGAGTTTCAGAAAGTACCAAAAGTTACTATAACCACGTATTTATCCAAAAGATGTTTCTAAGTCTTCTGGATTCTTGAATTCAGATAGTAAAAGTCTAGATGGTAAGGAACACTTGTATTTATTTTTTCTTATGTATCCTTTAACTGGAATGTTAGCTCTCTGAGAAAAGAAATATTCTTTGTGGGTTTTTTTCCTTTTCAATTATCTGTGTTATTGTTGTATCCCCACGTCCTATAATACCTCCTGGTATATAGTGAGTATTCAATAAATAATTGTTGAATAAGTAAATGTGTTTATTTTACTCTATCCTAAATCCCACTAAAACAACGGTAAAGAGAGAGATGGTGAAGGGAAATCCTAGGAAACAGTTGTATATCAGGCCCAGTGAGCAGCCAGATGAGATTACAGTAGGTACACAGAGGGCTCCTGGAGGGGTTTTTTTCTAAGAAAAAAATAAAATGCAAAAGATTTTTTGATGTGTTGTGCAGATAGAGACAGGTATTGCAATTCTTTTGGAAAGTTTGGGGAATAATTAGTATTAACCAAAAAGAAAAATTAGGGAATCAAAAAGAAAACATCAGTTACTTCCTCCAGAAAAACAAAAGTCAGTGAAAGTATTTTATATAAAAGGAAATGTAATCATACTACATTCCATGGCTTAGCTATAAATAAATATATAATCATCATAAAAATAAAAATTTGTTTTTAAAAATCAAAATTATAAATATGATTACATTAGAGGGGTAATGTAGTAATGGAAAAATGTGTGTGTGTGATAGGAGTTATGTAAAAGTAATAAAGTGCTGGAGGTGTGGCTCAAGTGGTAGAGCACCTGTTTAGCAAGCACAAGACCCTGAGTTCAAACCTCAGTAACTCTAAAAGGTACTAAAGCCTTCTGGTAAAAAATTAATGAATTAGGTCAAAATTTAAAAATAAGGGAAAAGGAAATATAGACATAATACTTAAAATAAGCTAGACTATAAATTTCAAATATGCCTAGTAGTTAGAAGGGTTAAAAATTACTTACCTGTAGGAAACTGGATTGGCAAGAGAATGCTGGTCTTTGTTACAGTCTTTGTAATACTGTTTAACAATTAGTGTATACATTTAAAACTTCAGTTAAATGACATTTCTAAGATGAAAAGCCTGTTACGTGCTTTGAAACTTATTTCAAGGAAACTTAAGACTGAGTTTAAAAATTATGGAGTTTTTTGCCATTTTAATACCCAAATTGTGTTTACTTTTTCTGGTGAGAAAAAGTAAATTTCTACCTACATGTGTTTGAATAGTTTTGTTGGGGGCAAACTACATTTTACCACTCACTGATATTTAATAGTTTCTCCAAATGCAATAGAATTTTTCTCTACTTAGTTTTGAGGTGTATGCCCTGTCTTTTTTTTTTTTTGTCTTAGAAGTTTTTATTGCAGAAAACTATTCATGTGCAAACATGTGTAAGTCCTAGGTGTATATCTTGATTATTTTCACAAGCTGAACACACCATATAACCAGCACCCAGATCAAGATGTAATTTCTGGCCCTTCTCATGCCCCTACCACTGTTCTAATTTCTAACACCGAAAGTTGGTGTTACTTTCCTTTTTAACATCATATAAATGGAATAAATTGTGTATATTCTTGGAGTCTAGCTTCTTTGCATCAACATTATTTTGTGAGATTGATCCCTATTTGTACAGATGTTTGTAGTTCATTTTCATTGGCATTTCATTTCACATCTCTCACAATTTGTTTATCTTTCACCATTTGTGAACACTTGAGTAGTGTCCAGTTTTTAACTGCTTTATTGCAGCACTTTCCATTCTTACTCCATTTTTTGGTGAACATGTGGCTACTTTGTCCTGAGTATAAACCTAGCAGTAGAATTACTAGGTCAAAGGGTATGTATGTGTTCTGCTTTAGTAGATCTTAGCAAACAGATTTCCAAAATGGTTGTACCAATTTACATTTCCACCAGCAGTGTTTGGGAGTTCTAGTTATTCCACATCTTCACCAACCTCATTTTCTCTTTCTCATCGAGACTTTCTAGTGTGTGGTGGTTTCATTTGCATTTCCCTGATGACTATGAAGTTAGCATATTTTCATATGGTCATTGGCCATTTGGAGTTCCTCCTTTATGAAGTATCTTTTCAAGTCTTTGCCCATTTTTTATTTAATTGTTTGATTTTTTCCATATTGATTTATGAGGTTCTTTATACATTCTGGATTGAGTCTTTGTCAGATATCTGAATTGCAGTTATCTCCTCCTATCTGCTTATGTTCATTCTGACTTTCTCTCTGTCTTACTTGCAGTGCTAGGGATCAAACACAGGGCCTTGCACATGTTAGGCAAGCATTCTACATTAAGTTATATCCCCAGCCCATGCTAACATCCTCTTTTGATTATTTTCAAAAGAAAATACAGCAGTCTGAAAAGATCAGAAGTTTGGACTTCTTAAAGCCTCTTTGTGAAGGAATTTACTTGTCTTCATTAATTTATTATGTAGTAATCATGGTATAAATGTTATGTTCTTTAAAAGGTGTATTTTCAACACAAAAACATGTACATTAATGTTCATACAAGCGTTATTCATAATAGTCAAAAGTGGAAACAACCCAGTATCTGTCACTGATGAATGTATAAAGTGTGGTATACTACAGTGGAATATTATAGAAAAGAAATGAAGTACTGTGCTTATGGTCACACAACTCTGACTATACTAAAAACAAAGCAAAATCATTATAGAAAACATTTTTAAGTAGAATGTTTACCATTTCTATGGCTGAAATTACTTCAATTCTGAAAATAAATGAGTGTTTATTACATGCCACACAGTATTACATAAGACATGAACCACTGCCCTCCAAGAGATTACAGTTGAGCAATAAGATTAAGTTGTGAATTAACAATCATAATTAGGTATCAGAGAAGGTTCTCCACAAGGAAAGTCTGAAGGCCAAAAGGAGTTTTCTAAATGGAGAATTGGGGGCTATTCTTTATGACTAACAAGGGGAAAAGGAAAAAAACTAGATCTTGAAAAGCCTTCTCTTTTAAGCTAAAAATAGCTCCAGAGGTCATTATGATGTTCTCCTTCCCCTTATTTGGAAGATAGCTTCTGTATCTTCAGTAGACAATAGGATAAAGGAAGAATAGTCCTATAATTCTCTGTCTGAAAACAATTCATAATGGAAACGTCAGAGGTGCTATAATCTCATTTATTCACTCTGGCAGAACCAACCAGGATATCTAACAAAGCAACAGTGGTAAAAACACTATTGGAACCTTGGGATAATCATACACAGTATAGATGATAACTGAAAGCTGGGTGATAAGTGATCCAGGGTCCAGTCCCTTCTCACTGCCTGTCTTCCAGGTCACTTCAGACACTACCTGGGCCGATTCAAGTTCTCCAAAATAGAGTTATAAGTGCAAGAAATGTATTGAGGCAACACTTATGAAAGATTAAGGGAATTGGGAGTAGGTGACTACATAGACCACAGCGTGGCTTATACATCCATGAAAGGAGAGAAAGAAAGGGGGTAGGTTGGGCAGAAGGTCTTAGCCAACCCAGTGTAAGCTCTAATGCAAAGATTGCCTATGGCGGAATGGAATCCAAGGTTACATAAAATTGGTCAGGCCCGAGTACCCTGCCATGCTCAGTCTTTGGCTGGGAGCTGCCTAGTGGGCAATGACTCCTGCTTGATCAGGGCAGCAGACCCCAAGAACCTTGCAGTTAGAGGCTATCAGCTAAATGTACTCCCTCCTTTAGGTTCTCACTTGAAGGGAGATCTGAGTAGTACACCTCCTCGACTGTCACAATAAAATTTTATGATATTTTAATATAAATTTAGCCTATTAATATAAGTTACTCATAGGCCATTTTACTATTGTGACTGAGATCCTTTGTCTTCTTATAGCTTCTAACCAGTTATTATAGGTGTGTAAAAAACAAGGGTTTAAAAAAAATTCTTTCAAGTTAGCTACCTTACTTTGGATTCTTGCTAAAGAGTTTTTTCAGTTGTTTCTCTGTCAAAAATATCAGCAGTAATAAGTTCATCTCTAAATAATAATGCCATATTTTCAAAAATAGTGTCTATAATGTATATGTATAATGCTTCCTGTTGTTCTAAAGTGATCCAATTTATCAAGAGGTTTTTAAAAAGAAAAAATACCTTCAAATTTTATTTTATTGCTGAGGTACAAAAAACTTAAAAAGTTATAGACAGAAAAAAGGAAGGAATGGCTAAGGGAATTACACTGAATTTCTTTCCATAGGAAAAAATTTAGATAAAAGCTAACAGGCAAGCAAAAAACATGATACAATACAGGAAATATAATTTTATTGGTCTTACCTCTTGATTTTAGAGTGGGTGCTTGATTCTTAATTATTCTTACTTCATCTCTTAAAATAATATAGCAAAAAGTCAGTGGGCTTTTTTAAATATCTGTTTTAATTAGCATACATTGATAGTACAAGAGGGGTTTCATTGTGATAATTTCATAGATCCATACAGTGTACTTTGAACAGGTTCACCCCCTCTATTATATTCCATTAATCATTCTTGCTCCTCCCAATTTGTCAGTGTTTGGTGGGTTTCATTTGCTATCTTCATATATATTATAAAATGCATATAAAATGTACTTCCGTCCTCTTCACCCTCAATACTCCATCCTCTTCCCCTCCCCCAATAGCTGATTCCCCTCTGCCAAACAGTCCCTTTTTGCACTCATGTCCCATTATTATGATGATTATCATCATCATTTTAGGTTTAGATTCCACAAATGAGTGACAATATCCAATATTTGGCTTTTTTGAGCATGGATTATCTCATTCAGCATGATCTCCACTTCCATTCATCTCCTGCAAATAACATAATTTTATTTCTTTATGGCTGAATAATATTCCTATATATACTACATTTTCTTTATCATTTATTGGTTATTGGGCACTTAGGCTGATTCTACAACTTGGCTGTAGTGAATAGAGTGAACATGGGTATGAAGGGATCTCTCCTGTGTGTTGATTTATACTTCTTTGTATATATGTCCAAAAGTAATATAGCAGGGTCTTATGATAGGTCTGTTTTTAGGTTTTGATGAACCACCATACTGACTTCCATAGTGGGTGCACTAGTTTACATTCCCACCAACAGAGTATGATGGTTCCTTTTTCCCCACATCATCACCAGCATTTGTTACTTGTTTCTTGATGAATGTCAATCTGACTAGGGTAAGATGGGATCTTAATATTGTTTTTGACCTGCATTCATGACTAAGGATGTACATTTCTGTTTTTACTCTGAGGTGTCCCCTCAGATGACTTGTTCTCCACTTTGCCACATGCTTTGCCTAGATCCAGCAGCATTTCCAAGTAAACTGTAGTCTTACTCTATATAAAATCATTTTTAACTTATTTATTAGCAGTCCTCAAAACAAAAATTGGCAGTGGTTTTTAAAATATTATTTTTTAAATAACTGTGTTTATTTTAGGAAATTTAGAAAATACAGATAAAGGTTAATTTAAAATAAATCCTCTCAACTAGGGATAACTACTGTTCATATTTTTGTAGACATCCCTTCAGTCTTTTTTTTTTTTTTGGTATAACATGCATCTGTATACACACACATGCAGTTTTAAAAATAAAAGTAAAATCACAGTATATATGCTATTTGACTCATGAATGTGTCATAGCATAAAATCCTCCCCAACAGCATAATGTTTAAATACTGTTTACCTTTGTGCACTGTCTCTTATTTAAAACAGTTCCCTTTAAGTGAGCATTCATTTCTAATATTTTTAAGTAGTACCTTTTAGATTTGCCATTTAAGAATGTTAAATGACCAATTTTCTTCCCCTAGTTCCTTTTCTAAAGGTTCTTTTCTGACGAATTCAGGTATTAGAAAAATGAACGACTTTAGAGTCAGACAGACCTTAAATTTGAATCCTGCTCTGCCATGTAGTAGTTGTGTGACCACAAACAGGAAAAACTATTATAAACTAATTACCCAAAACAGGTATTCTTGATGCCTTTTCTTTTCCTTGTAAGTGCTTTGCCAAGTATAATGCTGACCTTGAAGACTTTTGTAAAGACATTTTGATATTCTTATTCCCTGGACAAAACAGAGACAACTGGGTTTTATTGGCTGCTAATGCTTATTTTCTGCTTGTCAGTTTTAACATTTGTGTGTGTGTGTTTTTTCTCCTAGAGATAAGATTTCAGTTTCCACAGCTGACTGGAGTGCTTACTCTTGCTTTCTTTATTCATAATTGTATTATCACACTCTTGAAAAACACAAGGACCAAGACAACAATGTGAGTAGTTATCTGAGGAACTGACTTGTATTTCCTAACCATAGACTTGTTAAGTCAGTGTTTAAGGCATTTGTATTGAAGTACAATTATGCAATTTGTTTCAGCACCTTAATTTTTAAGTTTAAACTATGGAGCAATAGTCAGCAAACTTTTCTCAAAAAGCTCAAATTGTAACTATCTTAGGCCTTGCAGACCATGTGATCTTGTGACAGCTACCCAACTCTGCTGTTGTGGCATGAAAGCAGCACACACAATAAATAAACAAATAGGTAGTGTGGCTGGGTTTCAGTAAAACTTTGTTTACAGAAACAGAAGTGGGTCAGATTTGACACATGAGCCATAGTTTGCCCCTGCTAGAAAGCAAGAAAGAGGTATATGAGAGACAGATTTGGGGCGGGGGGGAGGGAGGTGGTAGGTTGCAGTTTGAGGCCGACCCAGGCAAAAAGTTCACAAGACCTCATCTCAACCAATGGCTGACATGGTAGTGCATGCCTGTTATTTCAGCTATGCAGAGAAAACATAAATAGGAGGGTCCACAGGTGAGGTAGATATTATAATGCTATTTTTATGGTTTAATTTTTATGGGTGAGGAAAATGAAGTTTGAGGTAAGGTCATCAAGTTAAGAAGTCTGGCACAAATTCAGATTCCAATTCCACTTACAAGTAACATATCAATGTATGGTCAGTAAAGATAAAGATAGGAGAGATTGATTACATGCTTACCCTAATTTGAGACCTAACTTCCCTCAACTTACAAAGCTTTTTGTCTTCATAATGACTTTAGCAAACATTAGCCCAAACTCAAAGCCATCTCAGAGTCCCCAGGCACAGTGCATCCTTCCTTCCTCTTTATTTCTCTAGCAACTGTAAAGACCTCTATTAGAGTTCCATTGTGATTTTTGCTTATGTGGTTAAAAGCTGTCAAACTGAGTTCAAACTCTGCAGAGAAGGCACTAAGTAACTGATTAACATCTGCTTGCTTTGAGTTTAATTTGCTCTTCTCTCCAGTATCCTTAATAGATGGTTATATTTTTTAATCTAGATGAAGATTTTTAACTATAGATCTGTCTTCAGTTTTAATGCAAGTGTTTGCAGCTATCCATTTCCTTCAAGTACAACTATAGCTACAGTCCCATAAGTTTTTGATCTTGAGTTTTCATCTTCAGTAATCTCAAAACATTTTGTTTCTGTGATTTCTTCCTTGACCCACTGGTTATTTAGAAATATGTTGTTTAATTTCCACATATCTGTGAATTTCCCAAGTGTCTTCCTGTTATTAATGTATAATTTCGTTCCATTATGGTTGAAAAACATACTTGATATAATTTCCTTTTAAATTTATTGAGATTTGTGTTGCGACATAGCCCAGTCTTGGTAAATGTTCCTGTATATTTGAAAAGAATGTGTTCTGCTGTTGAGAGAAGACTTATGCAAATGTCAGATCCAATAGGTTAGTGGTATTTTCCTGCTTTTATATTCTTATTTTTGTCTGTTCTACCAGTTATCAATGGAGAGGTAATAAAATCTCCAATTATAATTGTGGATTTGTCTGCTTCTTTTAGTTTGTCAATTATTCATTTATTTTGAAGGTCTGTTACTGGGTCCATACAGGTTTAGATTATTATGTCTTCTTGGTGAATTGGTCCATAAGGATCATTATGTAATGTTCCTCTTTGTCTCTGGCAATATTCTTTGTCTACTTTGGGGTTGGCAAAATGGCTCATGTGGTAGAATGCCTGTCTAGAAAGCCTAAGGCCCAGAATCAAATAATACTGTCAAAAAAAGAAAGTCTACTTTTGATATTAATACAGCTGCTCCACTTTGTTATGTTTAGTGTGTGAAAGGCATGCCTTCATATTTAAAGCAGAAAGCATAGTTTTATTTTTTAACAAATCTGACAATTTCTTTTAATTATGGTGTTTAGACCATTTACATTATAAATTTAATGTAATTATCTTGCTATTTGTTTGCTCATTCTTTGTTCCCTTTTACCTAGCTTCTTTTTGATTAGTTCAGCATTTTTTTAATAATCTCATCACTATTACTGCTTTATTAGCTATATGTCTTATTTTTATTTCTTTTAATAGTACTGGGGTTTTTGAACTCAGGGCCTCTTAAGCCATACCCCAGCCCTTTCGTAATATAACATCAGAGTTGTGATAAGAATTAAATGTAAAAAGGGAAACATGTTTAATATTTACTGATATACACTAGGGACTGGAAATTTCTCTTACCCTTTCTCTCCTGACATTTACAGCCTATTTTCTTACACCAACTTAGACCAAGCTAATCATGTAATCCAATACAATCATGTATTGGATTATTCTGTCATAAGGCTGTGCTTCTCAAAATTTACCATCAGTATCTCCCTAATAACAAAGAACAAGCTTGCATATGTAGGAATGTAAGAACATAATTTCATTGAAGTCTTATGTTTAATCTTAAATGTTCATTCACAAAACAGTCTTAAGATAATGAGTTAATTACAGACAGTCTAATGTTGCATGGTTCCTAATGCACAACTTTTAATGATTGTGATTTACATTACATCAGTCCCAACCAACTGCAAGATTGTTCAAATTTCAGTTACCCGAGTCTACAAAGTGAGTAGTTGTATGACCTTCTTGTCTCTAAGCAATAAATCCACATGACAGTTTATAAAAATTGATAATTGAAAGGAATTGGCAAGTAAAGGTGAAAGTGCAGCAATGAAACAAAAGTGATAATGTTGAAGACAAAATTTAATTAAACATAAGTGGAATTATAAAAAAAATAGTGATTGTAGAAATGATGACACTGCTGCCATTCAAGAGACTCCAGATATACAGCTAGAGGAGCTTATGGAAAGTGAACCTATCAACTTGAACTTGGAAAAGTGATTGTCATTGACAAGAAGGAAGGTATTCCAGGGGAAGTGCCACTGTCAGAAACTTCACATTAAAAGAATTTTCAGTTGTTTCCCAACATTAAAAACACAAAGGAATAATGTTAGAAGTCATGCAAAGTTAGAGTGATAGAGTATGACATTTTACCAAGGCGCTTGCTCCATATTATAAATTATCCAATAATAGGAGGCAAGCATAGTTCATACTCTTGTTAAATTTTTACAAAAATATTAAATACTCTAATGCTCAGTGTTTCTGATACTTTGTTTATTGTCTTGTTTTATTTTGAGATAGGTCTTGCTAAGTAGCCCAGGCTGCCTCAAACTCATGATCCTCCAGACTCAGCCAGTTGAGTGCTAGGACCTCATTGTAGGTACCCAAGAACTAATGAATGGAAAAGGAAAATGTGGTATGTATATGCATGGAATATTATAAAGCCATAAAAAAGGATGAAGTTGTGTCATTTGCAGGAAAATGGAATGGAACTGGAGATCATCATGTTGAATAAGCTAA